CAGAGCGAGAGGATCCCAAGCAGGGCTAGAACCCATGAACTGTGAGATCATGACCTGAGCCAAAATCAAGAGTCGGATGCTTCACCAACTGAGCCACCCAGGCGCCCCATACTTTGGAATTTTTTAATCACATGTACTTTACAGTAAATCTGTGTGTTTTATATTAAATCCAGAAGAAAATGGACTTGAATTTAATTTTTCTGCATGGATTATGTTGCAGAAATAATACAGGATTATCCCGGTTTTAACCTTTTTTTTTTTGACTTCGCCAGATAGCAGACCCTACACTGGCTGAGATGGGGAAGAACTTGAAGGAGGCCATGAAGATGTTGGAGCACAGTCAGAGGTGAGCGTGGGGCGTCATTGACCCTAGGAAACGTGCTCAGCCTGTTGTGAAGCCGGTGGCACTGGTTTCCTGCCGGCAAAAACTCCTCTCGGTTTCAGAATGTCACGCGTAGTTGAGCTTCACCTGACTGGAAAGACGGTGTTCGTCTTGGGTAGAAGGTACTTTGTAATGAAAGGATTTTGAAATTGAGGGGCAGGACTTAGCGTTTTCAGTTCTGCCTCTTAAGAGTTTCATTTACTTAATATATTGATTTGAATCTATAAATACTTTTTACTGTATATTTATATCCTAGAGGGCATCGGCTAACCAAGAAATGGGTTAAAAAGTGTCATTTTTTTTCATGTTCTTTTCCTGAGATTCGGCCTGTACCCCCAACTGGGGGCTAGGGTGATAGGGGTAGGAGAAGAGATGTGATAAGTGTGTTTCAAATCCTGTATCAGTTACCGAGAGGTTACAGGCAGCATTGTCACCTGTTGGCCTGTTCGGATGTTAGCAATTTGGTGACATCGTTTTTTATTTCCTTTAAATTAGAAGAACAGAGGAGGAAAATGGAAAGAAGCTGGTATCAGGAGATATTCCGGGGCCGCTCCAAGGCAGGTAGGTGGCAGTGAAGGTGCCTACTTTTAGTTAGGGTATGTGTTTTCTTTAAACCAAGATTTTACAAACCATTGTTGGTTTATAATTTTAGTTGTGATAAGCACAGAGCAAATTGAGCGTCCTGTGCAGTGTAACACCAGGAAAACAGACTGCCATTGGTTGGTTGGCGAGAAATCTACCTGCTTCTTCCCCTTTCCCATTCAGGATCTAATTTAATTTAATTTCCCATTCAGAATTGACAACCTCATGACTCAAAAGTGAATGCACAAGTTTGTAACTATAACTCGACTATCATACTTAGTTCCTCCTTGAAACCCATTATCTATTCAGTAGACAGAGCTTTGTGGTGAGAGATACTTTAATTTGATAAGATTTATTATGTGTATAATAAAGTAAAATGAAAATGTCAACTTTGATCATTTGTTGGCAGAGTGATTTCTTTTTTTGGCAACTAAAACCAATCTGTCAAGCGTGTGTGGTTTAAGCTAGCAGGGAAAATAACAGGAAAAATAAGTAGCCGTGTAACTAGAATTTTCACAGGATGTTAGCACTCAGTGTGGACTTAAAGTCCCAGCCCCGCTTCCCTCAAACAAGCTTGTTTCTTCTGTTGTTTTATAACCAGGAAACTGCACATAGGTAAACAGTACAACTCCCTTAAATTGTCCTTTGACCTGAGTATGAATATATACGAGGTTGCAAAAGGAAAGTTTGGAGGAAAGCCACAATGTGTCATTAGGTGTCATATCTGACACACCCAGGTACTAATATTTTGAGACAGGCGCTCCTGTGGGTTGCCTGAATGGTGCCGATTTGAAGCCCTCTAGCTGTAAGGTAGGTTCTGCAGCTGACAGTGGGAGCCAAATCCTGTCAGTCCTCTCCACCCAGAGCTGTGGATGGGAATGAAAGTGTTCTATTAAGCCCACAGAAGTTTCCCTAGAAGAGATACTACCAAGAACATCTGTAATGCTCCAAATGGGAGGGCATTAGAGCCACAGGTCAGGAGCTTTCACACTTAATATAATAATGCCAACGTCTGAGATAGCGCGTGGCTAGGCACAGCATTAAACGTTTTTCATCCACTGATTGCATCCTCACAGTTCCATAATGTAGGGTCTGAGGGAGTTCAACGGCTTGCTCAAGGTCACTTGGTGGGCCCCCACTCCCCACACAGTGTCCAAGGACCAGAGCCCCTGTCACATGAGGGTCAGCACCTTGGTTTTGGCCTTGTTTTGGCGGTGCTTTTGAAAAAGAGAACTTGGTATTAGTTCTCACTGATTGGTCCAGTCCCATTAATGGAATGATAATGTCTTTTCATTAGAGTTACTGCAAGTCGCCTTGCCATTGCTTTACTGCTTTAGCCATTGACGTTCTTCGCATTAGTTTTCAGACAGTCACGTAATAAGCACTTAATGTCATATCTGGGAAGTAAACCTGTTTATACCGTAAGCAGATCTCAGATCTCTAGTTTCCCTGCTTGAGGAAGAGGTAATAAATGATGTTTGCGTTACATGTTTCAGTTGGTTAGAACAGACAGGACTCCTGCGTGGAAGAAAACTAGCCATACCAGTGGCATTGGAGTATGGTTGCTGCTTTTGTGACCTTCCAGCATCTCAAAAGGACTATTTTGGTTCCTATAACATGCTTTTTAAATACTCTTCTTGGATTCGAATGAACAGGTAGACAAATATTGCTAATGTAATCCTGGTGAAATTTTCAGAACTCAGTCTCCTATTTGGATAGAAGATTTAAATACCTGGTTATATTGAGAATTCAGTTAATATGAGGTTTGTTTTTAAAAGCTGTATCCTGTATCTCAAACACGTTCTTTCTCCTCTAGCTACTCAATTAAAAAACAAAACAGAAAACACAACTTACCGCAGCTTGTTTAAATGAAGGAAATAGAGTGGTGGGGATGTGAGCTGTTTCCACCTGTCTGTCAACTCTCTTTTGATTCTGCAGTGGACAAGATATGGTGAGCATCCTCCAGCTAGTTCAGAATCTGATGCACGGAGAGGAAGAGGAGGAGTCCCAGAGCCCCCGGTAATGGACACCAGTTGGCAGCTTCTCTCTGAAAGTATATGTGACCTTGACTTTGATAGTGACTGCGTTCTGACCAGTTGCTGAAATAGCTGTGCTTCATTCACAGTTACACATGATATTAAAACAATGTCCGTTTTTTCTCTTCTCAGCGAGACATTTAATATATGTTGGGTAATATATTTCGTAAAAGGAAGGCATTTATGAAAACGAAATCCTGTAGCTTATATGGCATCGTTTCTCAGAGAGGGGCTGGCGGAGGGACCAGAGAATAACTGCTGTGTGCGTGTCTGCTTCCGGTTGCTTCTGCTGATGTGCTGCGGCTTCTGACCGCTAACAGGTGCCACAGCTCGATCTGTTGGTGGCAGGGCCCTGTTGTCTGTGAAACCTCCGTTTATTTTTTTTCATCTAGCTTAGCTCCCTATTTAGTTTCATGTTTAATAGTTTTAAATTTAATTTTTTTGGAGTAAGTCATTCTCCTTTTTCAAATATCAGAAGCTACAAAGAGTACAGAAAGGCAGTTTTCAGTCAGCGATGTGATGGCATGTATTAGCCGAATCCAGAGTTGATGTAAATTCTAAAATGACAGTGACCTTGAATGAAAAGGGGGTATTTCCTTCGTACTCTTCCTCCCCAGCTTCTTGTTCTCCTTAGAGACAGCGGCCTTGCCAGCTTCTTGTGTACTCTTCAGAGATACTCTGTGTGTACGTATACACAAGCCGAGTGCACTCCCTCCAGGACGTAAACGCCATTTGGTGTTGTGCACCTTGCTTTCGTCATCTATGTCTCGGGGTTCACTGTATATCAGTGCCCAAGGAGCACTCTCCTGGAAGAGCTGCTTCGTTTTACTTTGGATGAGTGAACGGTGTTTTATGTAACTAGTCGCCTGTTCATGTTCCCTGTTGCAAACATTGCTGCAGCCGGTGACTTTGTACGTGTGTCCTTTATCATACCAGCAAGTGTTTCTGGAGATGAAAGTCCTGAAAGTGGGATTTCTGGGCCAGGTAGGCTGTGTGTCTGTAATTTGGATAGCTCCTGCCGAGTGTCCCTCCGTGGAATTAGGCCAGGTTACAGTCCCACCAGCAGTACGGGAGAATAGCTCTTTCCCCACACCTTTGCCTGCAAGGCTGTTTGTAGACTTAAGGACCATTGCCAGTCTGCAAGGTGAGAAATGGTATTTCAGCATAATTTGAGTTTGCATTTTTCTCATGAATCAGGTTAAGTGGCTTTTTTATATGTTTTAAAAACCATTTATATTTCCTTTGCTATGAACTATCTCCTTTGCCCAGTATCCTGTCTAATTTTTTGGTCTTTTTCTTACTGATTTACAGTTACTTTTTATAAGGGACGGTATTCCATCCATTTTAATGATACATAAAACATACCCGGTTCCCTTGAATTTGCTGTACTGTTTTAAGTAGCTGTTGAATGCAGGGAATTGACTTCATCTAATGATTCTTTAAAAAAATTAATTTCTGCACATTTTGTCTCAGCTCTACATGCCATAGTTCTTATAGCAGGCATTTGCTGTTTTAAAAAATGGGGGATAAAACTATTCACAGTTTGTATATGTAGTAGATATTCAATAAAATCTTCCTTAGATCATCATTACTTTTTACGCATTGAATTTTCTAAACTTATCTGGATTTCTGCCTTCTAGGCCATTAGGTGGATTTCAAGTCTGACAGATTTCTGTAGAAATGCCATATCTCTAGGTTTTATCTTACTCCTTTATTCGTATTTTGACTAACACTTTAATATAATTGATTTTGATTAACAGAATCCAGAATATTGGAGAACAAGGTCATATAGCTTTGTTGGGGCATAGTCTGGGAGCTTATATTTCAACTCTGGACAAAGAGAAGCTCAGAAAACTCACAACTAGGATACTATCAGACACTACTTTGTGGCTGTGCAGGATTTTCAGGTAAGGACGTATATGAGTTGGGTACAGACTGTTTCCTGGAGCTCTGCTGCCTGAGTTCATGTAGGCCTTTTCCCCTCCCTCTTGGAAGCCTTGCATTTAAAAAAAAAAAAAAAAAAAAAAATCTATGTGCCTCAGTTTCCCCAGCTGTTCAATGGGGGTAACGTCAGTATCTGTTTCATGGCATAGTTAGGAGGAATAAATGAGTGAAAGAACTAGCTTATGTCAAAAGCTGAGAACATAAGCACATACATTTTGGATAATGTCAGCAGTTACTTATTTTTAGGATTCCTACTTGACACTTGTCTATAGAAGAAAGAGCAGGAAAGTGGTCACAGGTATTTTTAATCAAAGGATTAGCTTCTCCTTTAGTAGAAGGAAAATGCTGCCATAAGGAAGTTGAGTATGTGTTATGAAATTGAACGCTTTATGCTGTGCGAAATATCACGCTTTATGCTGTGATAATGTTGGCATTATTAAGGAGTTATAGCACATAAGGATTCAGTAGAAGACACAGGACCAGTGGTATTTTGGGGCTTATGCTGTTACTTTTTTTTTTAATGTTTGTTTATTTTTGGAGGGGAGAAGGGAGAGGGGGAACGGGCAGAAAGAGGGAGACAGAGGATCCAAAGTGGGGCTTGAACCTCACAAGCCGTGAGATCACGACCTGAGCCGAAGTCGGGTGCTTAACCGACTGAGGCACCCAGGTGCCACTATGCTGTTGCTTTTAAGGAAAAGGAATGTTTGCCTAACACTGGAAAATTTAAGTTGACAGACTCCCTTTCAGATGTTGGAAAACAGCTTGGCCAAGCAAGAGTTTAAGTTTGCCTAACTGAATCGCAAAGGAGAGATTTTCTTCTAATAAAAATCTGCCACCCGTAATTGAAATTCTCTCTCCTTACTTTTCTGGAAGATGGAGAAGAATAATTTGCCCCAGGCAGACAATAGTAAAAGCAAAAGTTAGGCTGACTAGCAGCTTTCACCTTTTTCTTTACCTGGAATGTTTTTGGACTGAAACTGCTGAGGACCTTGCCTGCATTATCCAGTGTTGGCCTTCTTGTAGAGTAAGCTGAAACCGTGATCTCTGGCCTTTTTGTATCTAAGGGACTCCTATTCTCTGCTGCTTTTTTTCATAGTTTCTGCTCTTTTTGGAGTATGGACAAAGGGTGATTGCCTCCATTCTTTATAACCTCCAGCTGTTGAGGTGTGGTCAGCCATCTAGGATGAGGGCGATCCCTATCTCCTTTGGGTGCTCTAGGTGAAAATTCCTAGATTAAGAAAAGAATTACTCCCAAGACTAAAATTAGGATGTAAAACTGTCTCTTATCAGAGACAAGAACACCCCGAGAGATGGCTGTCTCTTCACAGGTATGAAAACGGCTGCGCTTATTTCCACGAAGAGGAAAGAGAAGGACTGGCAAAGATCTGTAGGCTTGCTCTTCACTCTTGTTACGAAGACTTCGTAGTGGACGGCTTCAACGTGCTGTATAACAAGAAGCCTGTTATATACCTTAGTGCTGCTGCTAGGCCTGGCCTGGGCCAGTACCTTTGTAATCAGGTAATATGGGATAAGGTGGACATGTGAAAGAAATGGTGTTCCTCTCTGTTCTGGAACTTTATAAAGTGCATAGGCCCATTTCTTTAGCCGTGGTTCTTTTCAAATGAAAAGAAACAATATGCTTGTTTTGTCAATATAAGAAAATATGTAAATAGATATTAATGAATTTTCAGAGGTGTGTACGTATATGTATTGCTTAGTTGCCCAAAGGCAACCACAGTTAACATTTTTCTTCCCCAGATTTTAATCAGAGAGTGTGTATGTGTTTTTACAAGGTTATGTTTGGCTTTTTTCACTTAGTGTTATAACAGGCGCATATCCTGTTTTAACAGTTCTTCAGAGTACAGTTTATTTTTAATATCTTCATAATAGTCATTCAAGTCACTGTATAGTGTTTTAGGCAACTGTTTCCCTTTTGGACAGTTAGAGCATTTGCATTCTTTTGTTTTCTGTGACCATTTTCAGGAAGTGCTCTTTGCATAGTGTTAGGGACTTTTTTATGCATATAGCTTTTTCTTTATTTAGAAATTTCTATATTTAGAAAGTACTTTCTAGATTATATTCCTTAGATAGATTTTCAGAGTCTGTCTAGAATTACTAGATCAAAGAGCATTACCATTTTTGACGCTCATGGGACGTCATTACGCTCATTGACATGTAGCCCAATTAGGGGGCTGCAAAAAAAACGTTCAGCCTCTTGGCGGAAAATGTTTTAGTTTTGTTTTTGGGTGTTTTTTGTTTTGTTCTCTTATTGAGAGAGTGAGAGAGAGAGCGAGCACAGGACAGGGTAAGCGGAGGAAGGGCAGAGAGAGAGGGTGAGAGAGAGAATTCAAAGTAGGCTCAGCGCTGTCAGCATGGAACCCAACCAGGGCTCAAACCCACGGACCATAAGATCGTGACCTGAGCGGAAATCAAGGGTCAGACGCTTAACCAACTGAGCCGCCAGGGGTCCTGTGAGGGTTTATCTTTTGTAAGATGAAGGAGTCCTGTGGAGATCGGTGGGGGAAACTCAGGGACTTCAGCTGATTTTGAGCTGTGGTCACTGGCAGCAGGAAATGACGTCCTCTTTTTGAGTGTGTACAGAATGAAGAGATTTACAATGTCCTTACAGAAACCTGGAACAAATTACTTACTGAGTACCTACTACAGGCCAGGTTCTTCTAGACCCACAGCTGCCTTGTCCCAGCAGTCCCGTCTTCAAAAGCTGTATGGGGGGCAGGGGTGCGCCTGGCTGACTCAGTCAGAAGGGCATGCAACTGACTTTTCATCTTGAGGTTGTGAGTTCGAGCTGCATGTTGAGCATTGAGCTTACTTTACTTTTTATTTTTACTTTTTTTTAATGTTTATTTATTTTTGAGAGAGAGAGAGAGACAGAGTGCGAGTGGGGGAGGGGCAGAGAGCGAGGGAGACACAGAATCCGAAACAGGCTCCAGGCTCCGAGCTGTCAGCACAGAACCCGACATGGGGCTCAAACTCACAAACCGTGAGATCATGACATGAGCCAAAGTTGGACGCTTAATCGACTGAGCCACCCGGGCACCCCATAAAGCTTACTTTTTTAAAAAAATGTATATTTTTGGGGCGCCTGGGTGGCGCAGTCGGTTAAGCGTCCGACTTCAGCCAGGTCACGATCTCGCGGTCTGTGAGTTCGAGCCCCGCGTCAGGCTCTGGGCTGATGGCTCAGAGCCTGGAGCCTGTTTCCGATTCTGTGTCTCCCTCTCTCTCTGACCCTCCCCCGTTCATGCTCTGTCACTCTCTGTCCCAAAAATTAAAAAAAAAAAAAAAAAATGTATATTTTTCATACCTAAAAAAATATATATGAATACTTAGAAAATGTTTAGAACGTTTTATACTAACAGTAGCTAATTGTTGGCTTATGGGGTGGGAGGGCATTTTCACTTTTAATTTCTTTTTTTTTTTTAATGTGTGTTTTACTCGGGTTTCCTTTCCTCATAATTTAAAAGAAGAATTTTTAAGGAGGGAGAAGGTGTGCATAAAGTGTTCGTTAAATGTTTGGTCTCTAAATGGTGCTACCAAGTCTAGTTACAGAACAATACGCTGCAACTGTTTAAAAATTCCTGAAAAATTCCTCAAAATTCCTCAAAGCTGAAAATAAAGAATATAAAATGTATTTGACAGTTACTATCTCCATTCATAACACTGACTTCACTCCTTTTAAGAAGTGTACATCTGCTAATCCATATTTGTTGCTTGTTAAGAGTGGGTGGATCCATAAATAAGATACTGTTCTTTGAATGCCTTTAGCTGGTGTTATTTACCACTAATGCTCAGAGGAAGGATCCTAAATTATCTCCCAAAATGCTCAAAGCTTGGTTGTTCCTTAGTTTGGAAAAGTGATTTTATTTTTTGTTATATTCTAGAATATAACAAAGATAATTACCCATTCAGCTGACTCAGAGAATTTTACGTTGTCTGTGTCGTCTTATAAGAACCTCATCTGCTAGAAATTTTAGCTTGACATTCTAGATGTACTTTAACACATATTTATAATATTAGGAATTCCTAACAAGCGAGATTGTTTAAAAAGAGTAATTGTGACTTGTCTTGGTGCCACAGTCTTTAGGGGACATGAGTGGATGGTGACAAGGATCTTGATTACAGAATTGTGTGTTTCTTCTGGCAGCTCGGCTTGCCCTTCCCCTGCCTGTGCCGCGTGCCCTGTAACACTATGTTTGGATCCCAGCACCAGATGGTGAGTTCTCTCTTCGGTTTGTAGGATAATACAGAATTGTGTTTTGAAACGGTGTCTTCTTCCTTTCAACTGAGGTTCTGTTTGCTGGCCTCCACATAATTATTAGTTTATTCGTTTATTGCTTGTATCTTCCCATTGCTTAATCCATGCTTCTGGGTTTGAAAGTCCGCGAGGGCTGGATGGCATATAGGTCAGGAGCACCTGCCTCCTCAGGAATCTTGTCATTACTGTATCACCTGATTTAAGTAGAAACATGGGAGTCCAGATGAGCACCATAAATTTCTTCTAAAGTTCATCCTTTTAAAGGTTGTCACTGTTGCCTGGATTTGTGAATGGGCAGATTTAGAAAATGAGGTTCTTTATTGTAATGTGGGATTGGAATTGGATTCTGCGTATTTTTAGGCCTTCCCATACTGAAGACAGAAGCAAAAAGGATAGGTTTTAGGGTCCTGTGTTTCTTTTTCCAAGGTACCTTGATTATCTGGTTCAGATACATCAGTGAGTAATATCAAAGACAGATTTTTAGGTACATATGGGGACTTGAGAGAACATTTTCTTTAAACCTTAGTGTTTAAAACTAGCGAAACATTTATCCTGTATGTATACAGTTTTTGACTTTAATCTCATTTAGCTGTTTTTTGTAGTTAGTCTTCAGGGGAAACTATTTGATTTTCATCTCCCTGATTAGATAAAATGGAAAAATGGTCAAGAATAAGAATTTTGTGTGGTTATTTTGAGAGTCCTTTGTTTTTGTTGAAAGTTGTAAGTTCTTACTGTACAGCTTTATGCCCATTGCTTCATGTTTCTGTGATTTGCCTTTCAATCTAGGATGTTGCCTTCTTGGAGAAACTGATTAAAGAGGATCTAGAACGAGGAAAACTGCCCCTTTTGCTTGTAGCGAATGCCGGTAGGTATCGTGAACGGAATCTGCCATTTCGATGTATAAGAGAAAGACAAGGTACTTAGCCTAAAAAAAAAAAACAAACCCTGAGTTTTGAGAAATGTTTGTCTGCCTCGTGTTTAAGGTAGTTTGTGTCAGCATCGTGGTGAGAATTAGAACACGGCACTCGGCTCCTCGCATCCCCTTCAGTTGTTGGTTTGTTGGGGATTTACTCTGTTGGTGTGTATGCTTTTTCGTTTAGGTTGTAAGTAATTATCTTGCATGTGCTTCCTTTCTGAATCGCATCCTAAAATGTCACGCTTGAAGGTCCACCTCGCATGCAGCAGTTCAGCTCCCACTTTCTGCTCAGCTTCCCATTACCGAATTCAGCATGATACTTGAAGTTTGAGGCAGCGCATCAGGGAAGAAAAATCATTAAGTGACAACACCTATTAGAAAGAATAAAATGTTTTTACTTGCAGACGGCATGATTATATAGATAGAAAGTCCTAAGGAAACTAAAGAAAGGTCTTCGGCACTAATAAACAAATTGATCTGGAGTGCAGGATTTCTGTGTACCAGCAATGTACAATTGAAGTTGAATTAAAAATGCCAGTCACAGGGGCGTCTGGGTGGCTCATTCGGTTGGGCGTCCGACTTCGGCTCAGGTCATGATCTCGCGGTCCGTGGGTTCGAGCCCCGCGTCAGGTTCTGTGCTGACAGCTCAGAGCCTCGAGCCTGTTTCAGATTCTGTGTCTCCCTCTCTCTCAGACCCTCTCCCGTTCATGCTCTGTCTCTCTCTGTCTCAAAAATAAAT